TATGAAACATATAATACGTATAGAAACGTATGAAACGTATGAAATATATTATATATATCAAAATTCTAAGTCCCGATTTACAATAAATGTAGTAAGCTTTAAGCCGTAAGAAATTGACCAATCATAGTCGAGTATTCTTCTCATATTTGACTCAGTCAAATTGACTGTGATCAATTTCTTATGGCTTAAAGCTTACTACACCTATTGTAGATCTGGCCTTATTCCGTCTTATGTCGTTAAAAGTGAAATTCTAATCTAATAAATAATCGAATAAATTATGTTATATAAATAAAGTGTTTCAAAAATAATATACGAATAATATATGAATGAAATATACGAATAATATACGAAAAAATAATATAAGTAAGTAACTATTACAGCCCATAAATCCAAATAAATTGTTAGATATTGACAATTTCTTTCTATTCTTTTAGATTTTATAATGAGCGCGGATAAAATGAAACAAGCCAAATACGAGTTGAAACGTTCTCATCTTAATTCAGATGAATTAATTAATTTAGCTTTGGCAAAATTTTTCTTTGGCTGCAACATATCTTTTAATGTTGTTGAGTCCAATTTGTTTAAGGAGTTTATAAAACTCCTAAATCCAGATTACCAAATTCCATCAAGAAAAAAGCTTTCAAATCAATTGCTAGATAAAGTTCACAGTGAAATAACATCTGCAGCTGTGAAAGAACATGAAACACTAGGTGTACTGTTAATCGATGGTTGGAAGAATTCTGCTGCTAATAGCAAACTAGTTGTCTGTACAATACACACAATAATGGACAAGAGTATGTATCTGAATTCATGGGACTTAACTGGCATAAGAGAAACAGGAGATGCACTAACAAAAATTGTACATGAAGCAACGGAAATTGCTAAGAGCAAATTCAACATTCGTGTTTATGCCGTCGTATCAGACAATGCTTCTGCAATGATATTGATGGGTAATTCAGTTAATTTATGGCACGTAACTTGCAAGTCATAGTGGTAATTTATTAGCAAAATCCTTGGTCAATGTAAAATTCGCTGAATCTGTCAATCATTTATTGAGAGAATTCAAGCAGCCAGGTCTAGAAAAAGAAATTATAAAAGGTGGAGGAAAAAAAATTGTTCTTGCGTGCGAAACTCGATGGTGCAGTTACAGAAATGCATTTCGTTGTTGTCTAAATAATTTATCGATAATGCGTTGAATAATAAAAGATCAGAAGATTAGCATTAAGTGTTCGGAAATGTTATCACTCGATTAATTGGGGAGCGGTGCACTTGGACACGGTGCATTTGGACACAGCCAATCACAGCATCGTGTGATTAGAGACATTTGTAGGGTCCCTTGGAACAGCGACTTGTGATTGGACTGTGTCCAATTGTCCCGTGTCCAACTGATATACACCCTTAAGGGTGCCGTCCCATTGAGCACGGATCGGAACGCCGGATCGGATTTCTTACTATAATGAGCGTTCCGTTCTCTAGTTCCGTTCCGTAAAAGTTTCCTCTACCAGTCCCATGTAGCAAAAACGGAACGGAATGGCGCGTCGGTCGCAAATAAATATGATTAATTCGTCAATATTTCGTTATTTTGACGCGACAGAATTAATTATATACATAATTTATGCAATTATCTTGCCGATAACATTGTCATGAATATTCTGAAATATTTAATTGAAGAGTGAAATATATTTTATAACTAGAAATCCGTTCCGTTTTTGCTACATGGGACTGGTAGAGGAAACTTTTACGGAACGGAACTAGAGAACGGAACGCTCATTATAGTAAGAAATCCGATCCGGCATTCCGATCCGTGCTCAATGGAACGGCACCCTAAGTATAATACGTGCCCAACCCTG